TTTATCAATCTGTAATAAAAGACGTGAGGAAATTCTGTCTTTTTTAAAGACAAAAAATTTTGAGGCGAAATACCCAAAAAGAAGTTTGTAAAAAACTTAAAATATGTCTTTTAACACATGAATATTTAGATTATTTACCAAGCATTTTCATTTACCTCGCTCTTACGCTACTTGTTTTTTAAAAAATAGCCGTCTGAAAATATTATCCCCGAAAACCTTTTAAACCAATTCTTCGCATAAAAATAACTTAGTTTCAAGACGGCTTTTAAAATGTTTCTTCTTTCTCTTATCCAGCTATCATTTGCTTTATTTACTTTTAAATACTTCGCATATTCCAAACCTTGAAAATTATTTGTTTGAATAAAGTTCTTATACTGATCAGTATGAAGAACTGACCTCAGTTACACGACTTTACTACATTGTACACTATAATATACGATCCAATTTCGACGTGCTGTTAAATCTAAATAGCAGATTGAAGTGTTGCTATCTCACGAACAGTGAATGGCTGAAATTGAATATACCCTTGTATTATAAATGCCTTGTTGGATCCTATGCGCTTTATAACAGTCAAATATATTTGCCCCTTGTAGCGAAACGGTAGTCAATATGTTATATCGCTTGAAAATAGGGTCACCATTATTCAATTTAAAACATATGTTTTTTCATAACTTCTTCATTGTCATGCGAGCTCTTTTCATATTCTTTGGCGTTCTTTCAAAATATGCTTTTGACACTGGTTCATTTATTGTTCGGCAATTTCAGCAATTCGTACCTTATAACTTGAATGCAGACAGTTCGTTTAGATATAAACTGAGAAGGTTTTAAAGCCACTGATGTGGCTTACACCAAAAAATAAATGCTTATTCGTTTTGTAAAACACGCTAAAATATTCCCCCTAATCCTGGCAGAGACACTGACTTCTTACCTTCAGAAGGATCGTCGTAGTCAACCGCAGTCATGGTCATGACTACCATTCCAGCAGTTCCATTTTCAGTAACGTTGCCAAAATATACCCCTTGTGGGAAAATGGGAGCATTGTCATTGATATCTTTCAAGTTAACCTGAACATCGGCATAACCCACTAGACCTTCGCCTCCTTCATCTTGAGCGAATACGGTAAATCTCCATTGAGGTCTACCATTCGGCTGATCTCGGTCCAAAGGCTGAAACAAGGATACAGAATGTTAATAAGTACATGTAAATTATGATCGGTATATTTGAAAAATATTTCCTCCAAGTACACGATCAACTAGATTTCCACAAATTCGTTGATTTAGTAATTTAGTATCTACGATTGAATTACAGAACTTAATAAAATCTGTAACAAAGCAAATGTAACTCCGGAAGGATTCAAGTATTCAATATCGGATTTCCAATATAAATAATCATCGTCTGACAATAAATTCATTATCCTTCCAAACACAAATACAAACTGCATTATATTTACTTGTAGATCATTTTTATCGGTTCAGTCTACTGTTCAATCTTCTGCATAATATCAAAAAATTATAATGCAATATCCTTGCTTTGAATCAATCAAAATGATTCGAATCGTAAGCCAGATTTGTTCTGATTACGAAGAATTGTTCTCATTACGTTCTGATTACGGAAATCAAAAGTATCTCTAACTTCTAACCAATGACAACATTTGAGAATTGACAAACGGACTTTTATGCCGTAAGTTATAAAGGAAATAATTGTAACTAAAAATTGTAATGTAAACTGATTGAATTTGACCAATAGATTTTATAACTAGCTGTAACTTCATAAAAAGTTAGTTAAAAGCAATAATGCTTTTAGTTTGTGCATCTGATCACAAGTGCGGTTTTTACGATATCTGAAACTAATTTAATATTGAACCGACGCTGCCCACTGGAGAATAGAGTAACCGTCATTCCTTATCATTAGATGCGTCTAAACATAGCCAACTATTAGCGTCAAAGTTAAACAGTTTTAGATATAGATTTAACTAGGTAAAACACTCTCACCCGTAGCATTTTTTATCAGCAGCTTTAAAAAGCTTGACAGCCAGAATTCCAAATAGGGGGTAGCTCTAGCATAACTCAACGATTAACCGATATTGTGAATGGCACACTTTTATTAGCTTTACTAGTTTTAACCATCCATAAATTGATATACAGCCCATCACAATTGAGTGAACGTGATGGCCATAGGATGGGCAATGGAATTTTGAAATCGATTTGAAAGGGGAATCTTTATTACAGGATTTATTGCTGAATGAATGGCGAACAACACTGCTGGTGGTATAAATCAAACCGCTACGAGATTTCCAGCTCTCTCAGTTCAACACTTAATTTGCCCTGAAATATCGCAGAAATGGAGTTCGATTTAGATGTTTTTATTAAGTGGTGGGTTAAAGCTGTATTACTTTTCCAATAGTGGTTTAATGGGATTTGAAACTTTGCCATAAATTTCGTAATGGAGAATGGAATACCGTTTTATCTAACGCCCTGTATAATTTTTATTCATTCAGAGCTTTTTCAAACCATTCTCATTGGTTTGAGGCATAAATACGAATAATTCTGTCACCCTAATAAATTCTTTTGAAATTTCTACTTCCTATCAGGCAGCAAAATGAAACGCTATTGTTAAAACTCTTGAGCTTATTAAATGCTATCACATTTAATAAAAAAAAATGGATAAAGAATGAAAGCAGGAAAAAAGCGATAATCCGTTTTGGACTTCGGAAATTTAGTTACAGTCAGGCAAATATAGGTATCCAATGCCTAATTTATCATCTGTATTTTTGATATTAGATTAGCTTGTAAATAATATGTTGATGAATATATGAAATATGCAAAATATTTCTCTAAAAATTAGATGCTTATCTAAACGGTCTAGTTTTGCCTGTTTGCCCACTAAACTTCAACTAGACTGGCAAATAAGAAAGATAAAAGAGAAATACATAAAGTCTATTTGAGTTATGTTTAAACACTAATGACGTGTAAGCGCACAAGTTTGGAAAGTAATGCCAAAATAATTGGAACAGAAGAAAAATATGCGAAACGTATACAACGTTCCAAAGAATAAGACTGTACCACTAACAAATGGAGGAATTATTAGTTGCTCTTGCAACAGCTTGGAAACTTGCACGAAAATGGGAATGTAACGTGAACATTTTCAGCTGCTTAATTAGAGATACTTTAGAGAAAAATGGGATGAGTGTTCACTTAAGGAAAAAAAAATTAAAGGGTGCTTCCGAATCAGTATGAAACGGAAAATAATTTTTCCTGCGGCAACAAGAAACTATTTAGTATTAAGGTTTCAAATATAATTAAGCATCTAATGAACAATATTTAAGAAACCATGGTCCAAGTAAGAATGAAGATGTCGGTAATTCGCTTTTATTTGGAAAAGTTACTAACTACCTTGAGACCTGAATTCAAAGCCTTAAGCCGATTAATGAGTTAGTTCCGTATGATTTTTAATTGCTCTAAGTCACCCATAAATGAATTCCTAGTGAAGTAGACAAATATTGAAAAATATTGAAGGGAAAAGTAATGTTTTCCTTATATTAAACGTAATTAATTCAGGGGTTTCCGAGCGCTTATTACAAGCCAGCCAAGCATTTTTAAACATAATTTTTTAGTGGCCTTATACCGAAGTATAAATGTAAAACTACACAGAATCCAACAATCAAACAATCCAATGACAAGGAATGAGATTCAGTTTATCCTGCAACTCCTTATGAAGAATGAATGCGACTTTTAATGTAATGGAGCTATTAATGGAAACAATGCGACGCAATAATTTATCCAAGCATTTTTTCCCACTTGACGATTATATGCATTCAATTAAACTCTGGTCTATTTCCTGAAATTTGTGGCGACAAGTCCAGCACTAAAGTACAATTGTAATTAACAGCTTTGCATCAACTGAGACTTTGGTTAATTAAGACGAACCCAGAGGCGTTGTGTGCCACATTTTAACACTTTGCAACTTGCTTCGTTGCAGTTTAACTTAAATCAGAAACTTTTAGAGGAAACCGTTCAAGGAAAATTGCTTTTGAATGCAACGAAGCATTTTTAAATTTGCGTCACTTTTTTCCAAGTACAGTTCCAAATTTTATAAAGCAATGGACCAAAACTGGCTCCAACCAAAACAGCTCTTAACAATTCATGTCACATATTAGGAACCTATTTGTAAAATCACATAGCTTTATAACGGTCGATTTTTAATGAACGCACGGTATTAGTAATAGACAGTATTCGAATGTTTCTAATCATTATTCACGTTGCCAATTCGGTTCGAAGCACCGAAAAAAATGAAAAACTTTTAGAAGGCAATTAATCTTTTTTCGGAATAAAATCAGCATTTTTAACACTCTGCGGTGAGATAAGGGAAATGAAGGACATCCGATAAATCATTGAAAACAGCACCCCAAAATTCGAGGGTTGATTTGAATTCGACACGAAGCAAATATTGCCTCATACTTATGTAAAGTAACAAATTTCATTCCATTTATATTAATATTTTTGTAAATTGCTTTCTGCATAGAATGTTTAAATTTTTGGCAATAAAATTTGAAATGTAAAACTCAGTTTTCCAAACTAAATGGCTTTTGAAAAATAGCGTTGACTTCACATACTTAATAGGGATTTTATTCTGCAAACCTCGTATTTGAAGTTATCATTGTTTCATCTAACATTTTGTGTTTATAATGTTTAAATAAATCGAATGATAAAAACAGAATGCAAAAGATTAAAAATTAAACCAAAAATAAACTTGTTTACTTATTGAAATGTTTTTCTATCTAATCCAACATATAATTCTCTGTACACGATCATGTTTATGTCTACGGAAGATTTCGAGAATTTGCAGAAAATTAATCATAGCTTATTCGTCATATATCATTATTTTGTGCATCAAAACGAGGAAAACATTGCGAGAGAGATCGGAAAAGTTACAATTTAGAGCAATTAAAGCTAAGCTTATAATGCCTCAAAAATATAAAGTATATTCCTATAGAACACAAGTAACTGCAATTTCTTTGGGAATGCCCATAAACCAATTTTCATGTTTGAATATACGACGACGAAGAAGAGCCAAGATAGTGAAAAATAACAATAATTCCTAATTTCATACTCATGTTATGTTAAATGTAAAAGTGATAGTGCATATGGAAATTTTAAAGATCGAGTTTAAGTGCTTGTAGTATTACTGCTTCAAATGAAGAGTATGATGAATGTAGACTACTAATATGTCTATAACTTAAGTTATAACTGCTGTCATCTTGAAAGAGATCAATGAATAGCGAAAATCGAAACGAAATGTTATATTCAGTGGAAATCTAATATGCTCACCACATATGTTTGAGGTATTAATAAACTTTTATAAAAGTCAGATTGCAATGCACAAAATCGGTACAGACTTTATTGCAAACTTTTAAATGTTGCATAACTGAAAATATCGAAAATATTAAAATCTATTAAGTGGTTCGTTTAATGAATCTTTAGTCGTGAACTCTTTGTTCAACCGAACGAATCGTCGTAACTAATAGTTCAGACTAACTAACGGCAATAGCTTTTTCTTTCAGTCTCTTAATAGTATCTTCTGATACTATGAGCTTCAGCTTTTAAAGAACAACGTAATTTCCCAAGGAATGTAATAAACATTTGGACTAATCTCCAACACTTTTCATGTTCTTCCGTATCTAGCTGTCACATTTTGAAGCCAAGTTTATTTTTAAACTCTTTCGTATATAAAAATACTTATAAATTGATCAAGAGTTTCATCACTTTTTTGGTAACATTTAATTTTTGACTTAAACAAGGCTTTAAACAAAGAACGTAGGAAGTACATAGTTGACATCTGGACATTATGAATCCACGATTATCTTAATTTTTGAATCAATCAATATATCAACCGAGTGAAAAAGAAATTTGTATCATATTCAGACGTTAAAATATAAGAAATCTCTTAATTTAAATAAAATATATTCATTTAGAACAGCGTTAAACTATGCTCGCCAGCAAAAAATTTAAAACTCGGAAGACAATTAATCTTCTTCCACGATAGCATTATCTAATTTTAGCCCTTTTCCTGATAAGCAAATGACACCGAGCTATATATCATTTGAATTGAATTATCCTCCTTTGACTTTTTCAGGCACGACACTTTAAAGGGTAATTTGGAATTTTCA